CACCAAAAACTGGTGGTGATGAGAAAGTCACATGATGAACCAAAGCTCATCACAAACAGCTTTTCTACGAGCTGAGGAGGGCAATACTTATATATAGAAGGTGCACACGGTCTCATTCACACAAACACTAAACCCCATCATGGTGACAGACACGATACTGAAATAATGCAATAAACATTAATTTAACAACATTAGATGTAAGATTAAACCCTAGTGTACACAACTGATAAGAAAAAACTAAGAAGAAACATGTTATTTCAACAAAAAAACATGAAGTGTCATGCAGGGAATTCTGGGAGTGTCAATTTGCGGTTTGTCACTGTAAATTATACAATTACTTTTTCCTTTTCACTTCCAAAAACCGTATTTTTAACAGTATTTTACTGTAAAATTACATTAAATGTAATGACATTTATTCACCAAATATAGTATGGAAACTTACTGTTAACCAGTTAACAGGTTTTTACTGTAGCATTTTTACAGTCTTTTACTGTTAAAATCACAATCATTTTTTTACAGTGTATGTATTTTTGTTTGAACACATAATTAGAGACTCAATGCTTGAATTTCTTTCTTGCTCCACAGAAGAAAGTCCAAATGCAGAGAGAACAGAACAATATAAATGTTCCCATAGTTTTAAATATATAATGTCTCATTCTGGCAAATTCTTCTCGTCTGTCACTGAGAACTGTCTGTGAAAACGTTAGAGAGGTGTGGGGCAGCATCTACAGGCAATGTAGAGAACTACTGATATCAAAACTTGCACTTTGTCACTGTATTGCAGCATTTGGACGACTGATCTGTGAAAGAACATGCTGTACAATTTACAACGCCTCTTCAGTTTTGACACGCATGCTGAGATTTAGAATATGACTGGCAAGAAAAATACAAAAACAAATTGTAGATATACAGATTGTACTTATATACAGATATATGCAAATATGAATGTGTGAAAATAGGTCTTCATGGGTAAAGCAATATGAGAGATTAAAATAAAATATTAAAATAGTGAATTTTCATATTGGACGTATGGTTTTGTTCCATTAGGTCTGGCGCTCATTAATTTCACTTTTAGTGTGAACGGGCCTTTAGCTTTACAGTTTTTTGTTATTAAAAAACAAAAGCAAGCCCAGCCCAGGTGACAAAAAGTAACGCAAAAGTAATGTAACTCATTACTTTCCATAAAAATTAGCTCAATGAGTTACTTTTTTATTTAGTAATGCAATATTGTAATGCATTACTTTTAAAATGAACTTTCCCCAACACTACTGTCAAGAGACTTGTTGAGAGGGAGACGGTCCAAAAAAAAAAGTTTAGTTGCATACTCAAAAAATTCGATCTTATGCTGTAAAAGAAATGTTTTCAGACCAGAATTTTTTTATGTAAAGTTAAATACATTAAAGACACCTGTAATCTGTGTCTAATAAATGTGCAAAGAGGAGGAGTGTGACTTATAGTTTCATGTTGGGGCGATTCATCAATATTCATTTATGCTCTATCAATGCAAATCTAAAGTTTCAGGAAAAACCGAAGCTTACCAGACAATTAATGAGACATGACACTTTCAGCGCCACACATCCCGCTTTTAAAAACAGAAGTGCATTGACAAATAGTATAATATGCACAAATTTATTGGGACACACCTGTTAAATATTCAGGAGACTTTAGGTGTTTTAATCAGACACAATGCCAGTGGTGTATAAAATCAAGCACGTCTACATTTACAAGCATTTGTGGAAAAAAAATGGGTAGTTCTGAAGAGCTCAGTGAATTCAAACATAATACTGTGATAGGATGCCACCTTTGCAATAAGTCAGTTTGTGGAATTTCATCTCTGCTATATTCCACGGTATTCATCAGGAAGATCAGGCCCTTTCTTTCGGAACATGCAACACAACTCCTTGTGCAAGCTCTTGTTCTGTCCAGGCTGGACTATTGCAATGCTCTCTTGGCAGGTCTTCCAGCCACTTCTATCAAACCTCTACAATTAATCCAGAACACGGCAGCAAGATAAATCTTTAATGACGGACCATCACCTTCAACTCAACCTGGCTGAGACAGAACTACTTGTGGTTTCCACAAACCCATCACTTTATCAAAATGTCACCATCCAGTTAGGCTCATCAACCATAACTCCTTCAAAAACAGCTAGAAACCTTGGAGTTATGATTGATGATAATCCAAAATGCCGCTGCAAGATTAATCTTTAATTAGCCGAAAAGAACGCACATCACACCTCTGTTCATTAATTTGCACTGGCTACCAATAGCTGCTCGCATAAAATTGAAGGCATTAATGTTTGCCTACAAAACCACCACTGGCTCTGCACCCCTTTACCTAAATTCATTACTTCAGAGCGCCCTCTAGAAGCTTGAGTTCTGCAAGTGAACGGTGTATTATTGTGCCATCTTAAAGAGGCACAAAATCACTTTCACAGACTTTTTCATTAACTGTTCCCTCCTGGTGGACTGACCTGCCCAACTCAATCCGAGCCGCTGAATCCTTAGCCATCTTCAAGAAACTACGGCTAAAAACACATCTCTTCATCTTTATTTGACCCTCTAACTCTAGCACACTCTATTCTAATTCTATTGTACCTTTGTTGACGTGACCCTCTAACACTTGAACTCTCTATTCGTTTTCTAACGGCTAGTTTTCTTTAAAAAAGGCCTCTAACACTATAGCTTTCTCTCTTCTTTTTCTATTCTATCTACACTCTTAAAAACAAAGTTTCCAAAAGGGTTTTTTTACAGCGATGCCATAGAATAACCAATCTTGGTTCCCCAAAGAACCTTTCTGTGAACAATTCTTAAAAGAACCATTTTTTCTTAGTGTGAAGAACATTTTAGTAATCTAAAGAACCTTTTTTCACAGTAAAGAACCTTTTGTGGAATGAGAAGGTTCCATGGATGGTAAAGGTTCTTTGTGGAACCATTGATGTCAATAAATAACCTTTGTTTTTAAGAGTGTACTTGTTATATGTATGTGTGTATATATATATAAAACAACCTTGCTATGTGTGCGTTAGGCGATACTTGTCATAGCACTTGCATATTTTTGCTCTTTTGTTTACTTTTGATTGCTTCTATTGTAATCATTTGTTAGACGCTTTGGATAAAAGCATCTGCTAAATGACTAAATGTAAATGTAAGTGATATTATATGAAATTGGAAGAGTTTAGGAACAGCAGAAATTCTGCCACAATGATGAATGAATGCACCTCTTAACAGTCAATACTTAGTCAGCTTTTGTTGGTTCAGCACATCCCATAAATGCTCAATCAGATTGAGATCTGGGAAATTTGGAGGCCATGGTCCAGTTCAGATGCTAGCATGCCCCTTGTAGGCACTTTTGGCGGTGGACAGGGCAGGGGTCATCATGGGCTCTCGGACTGGGTCTGCAGCTGCACAGCCCCGTATGAAGCAAACTGCGACACGCTGCGTTTTCTGACCTCTTTCTATCACGGCCAGCATTAAGCTCTTCAGCAGTTTGAGCTACAGTAGCTCTTCTGTGTGATCAGACAAGGCAGGCTAACCTTCGCTCCTCATGTGCATCAATGATCCGTGACCCTGACATCAGTTCACCGGTTGTCTTTTCTTGCACCACTTTTAGTAAGCACTAATCATTGCATACCAGGGACACACCACAAGACTTGTTTTAGAAATGCTCTGACCCAGTCATCTAGCCATGGCTATTTAATATATGTGACACCCATAGACCACAAAACCAGTCATAAGTAGCATGCGTATATTTGTACCCCCACGTACGTCTGCAAATATCACTTGATATGGAAAGCATCTGCTGTGTACAAACATCTGACAGATGTCTGTAAGATGTCAGTTTTACATACACTCAAGCTCTTAAAGACATCTACTGTAATAGACGTCTCTTTGACATCTAATTGGAAACGTCCGATAGACGTATTGCAGATGAGCAAACGCTCTAAAACATATGTCTTGCAGATGTAAATGCAGACGTCAAATAGATGTATCCGTGACCTATCAGATAACAATACGTTGTAGGGGTCAAAATGATCGATTTTTCTTTTATGCCAAAAATCATTAGGATATTAAGTAAAGATCATGTTCCACGAAGATATTTTAAAGATATTCCTACCGTGCATATATCAAAACTTCTGATTAGTAATATGCATTGCTAAGGACTTCATTTGGACAACTTTAAAGGCGATTTTCTCAGGGTTTTTTTTTTTCTTTTGCAGCCTCAGATTCCAGATTTTCACATAGTTGTAATCTCAGCTAAATATCGTCAAATCCTAACAAACCATACATCAATGGAAATCTTATTTATTCAGCTTTCAGATGAAGTATAAATCTCAATTTTTTTAAAAAATGGACCCTTATGACTGGTTTTGTGTTCCAGAGTCACATATATTCATATTGTATTTAAATTATAATATAGCTTAAGTGCACATGTATCCCTAAAATGTACAGATATGAATTGACATTATGCACAAGTAGAGATTTTGCCCTGTCAGTGGATGCCGTTTCACGCCATGCATGTTACCCCTACAGCGGACTGTTTAAGAGGAACCAAGCGCAGACGAGCCTGTTTCCGGCCGGAGGTGTGAGTGTCGCACTCCATAAGCAGCGAGGACCGACACACGCCATTGTATGAATTTGTGCATTCGCGTCTTTTTTGTTTAGTTTTATTAAGGTTTTATGTGCAGTTAGATTTAACAGTGTGTGTGTGTGTCTGTGTCTGTGTGTGTGTGTGTGTGTGTGTGTGTGTGTGTGTGTGTGTACGTGTGTCTGTCTGTCTGTCTGTCTCTGTGTGTCTGTCTCTGTGTGTCTGTCTGTCTGTGTGTGTGTATGTTTATGTGGTTTATGAGGACACAAATTTGTATAATAACATGGGTATGACATAGGTATTACAATGAGAAGGTGATTTATGAGGAGCACAAGTAGAGATTTTGCCCTGTCAGTGGATGCCGTTTCACGCCATGCATGTTACCCCTACAGCGGACTGTTTAAGAGGAACCAAGCGCAGACGAGCCTGTTTCCGGCCGGAGGTGTGAGTGTCGCACTCCATAAGCAGCGAGGACCGACACACGCCATTGTATGAATTTGTGCATTCGCGTCTTTTTTGTTTAGTTTTATTAAGGTTTTATGTGCAGTTAGATTTAACAGTCCCTTGTTAAATCATCGACTCCCGTTTTTAAGGACAAACATTTTATTTACAATTAAGGACATGGCATCAGATTCGTGGGCCCAGGCTGTCGATGAACAAGAAGCCGCAGCGTCCCCACAAGGATAGCTGACCAGACTCTGTGTGTGTGTGTGTGTTGAGTCGTTTTCTTTGTATTCGTAACATACTTGGCAATAAAGCTCTTTCTGACTTCTCACAGTCCTGATTTTCACTTTCATTTACAGATAGGCAACTTGCAAATAAATGAAAAAGATGACAAACCGAAAGCTGAAGCGAATGGTGAGAATTAAAACTTTTTAAGTTAGATGTGTGCGTGTATTGCTGTTGTGGAGTCTTATAATGAATGCTGTTGGTATTGTTTTTTTTCCTTATTTTTATTAATAAGGGGCAAAGACAGATGGAGAGAAGACGGAGGACGATGATAAAGGTGACGTTTACGGCAGAGTCATCACCGTGTCCTTCAATCTGAGTATGTGTATATTCTCCACATGAGAGGTAACTAAAGCTGATCTGAATTGCAGATGACAAGGCAGCACAGTCGCTACTGAATAAACTGATCCGCAGTAATCTAGTGAACACGACCAATCAAGTTGAAGTCCTTCAGAGGGATCCGACCTCTCCGCTGTACTCCGTCAAGTCGTTTGAAGAGCTACGATTGTGAGTTTGACTGTTTTCCCACTCCTGATTGTATTCCAGCTTTAAGTGACGTGACATTAGGGATGGGCGATATCTTATCGTTTGCGATATACCGGTAAAAATTCTCCACACGATAAGAATTCGTCTTCCCGCGATAATAACGATAAAGTCTAGTTGTTGACATATTTCTGTGAACGACTGTGTGGAGTGACGTGAAGAAAGGCGGACGTGAAATTGAGCAGCTCCTGAATCTGCAATCTGGAGCAGGTTTGGATAGGGCTGTACAGTGCGACAGAAACCGGTCTGAGCCTTGAGTAAATGTACTACAGTAGCACGTCTGCCACACAGTTTTACATGTGTATGAGTCGTTTACAAACCTGTTGTCCAACAAAGATATTCAGGGCTCTACAGTGTAACCGAAAACTACTGCGTGCGACTATGAAATAATATTTAGGAGCACCTGTGCGACTGACCCGTTCAGCATATTTGTGTTTGCGCTGAGGGAGCTTCAAATGTTCTAATATAGCCTACGTTCGTGTTTCTGCAGCGTTGAGTAATGTATCACAGACATATCCTCTCATTATAACAAAGTGTTGACGGGGTGTAAATAAGATATTCATTGTGCAGTGTAGAGAGCTTCGTCGATTATAATGGAGTTTTGTGAGATCGGGATAAACTAAGATGAGTGACAGCTTTTAATGATTATTAAGGGAGTTTGCAAATGTGATATTGATTTAATACAACCGTTCATTAAACAAGAAGTTAATATTAAGTGACGTATATTGTCTGACAACAACACAATTGCCTTATTTTGCTCTATTTCATCAACGAAAATTTTTTTTTTTTTTAAAGAAGTAACAGCTGAGCCGCTGCGCATCTCCATTCAAACACAGCGGTGATTCGTTTATGAATGAACTGCGTATTTAAACAAATCTAGTGAGTCAATGATTCAATTACCCATTCATAAAGACATTCACGTACTTCGTTCCTGAATTTCTTCACAGAAATTATCGTGATATATTTTTAAGCCCATTATCGCCCATTCCTACGTGACATGTGGCCAAGTATGGTGACTCATACTCGGAATCAGTGCTCTGCATTTAACCCATCCAAAGTGCGCGCACACACCGTGAACACACACCCGGAGCAGTGGGCAGCCATTTATGCTGCGGCGCCCGGGGAGCAGTTGGGGGTTCGGTGCCTTGCTCAAGGGCACCTCAGTCGTGGTATTGAAGGTGGGAGAGAGCGCTGTACATTCACTCCCCCCACCTACAATCTTTTGGTGGGGGGAGTCATAACCTTTGGGTTATGAGTCCAACTCTCTAACCCTTAGGCCACGACTTCCCCTTAACGAGCCAGACTGGCATGAATTTGTCCTGTGGTTTTTTTTTTTTTTTCTTGCCAGGAAACCTCAGCTACTGCAAGGAGTGTATGCCATGGGTTTCAACAGGCCCTCCAAAATCCAGGAGACCGCATTGCCCATGATGCTCGCAGAACCGTAAGTTTATATACCCCCCCCCCCAATTTAAATCTAACTTAAAGGGGTCATATGATGCTGCTAAAAAAACTGTATTTTGTGTATTTGGTGTAATGAAATGTGTTTATGCGGTTTAAGGTTCAAAAAACACATTATTTTGTACATGCAACTTTACAGATCTTCTTCATGCACCAAGAGCTTATAACACTCCAAAGAGAAAGGAAAAATTTAAATCGCATCATATGACCCCTTTAATGCAGTGCCCAACAGAATTTCTATTTTTTTTTTAGAAATTAGATTAAGATTACTAGAAACTAGATTAAAATGGCTGATTTCGTAGCCGTGATGTCCAGAATTTTGTGGAGAGTTTGCAATATTGTTTTTATAATTAAGTGAGCACATTATGTATAACACACACACATTTTTGCGTTTGTCACAGAAAATGTTTCATCAAATTCTGAAACAACTTTTAAACAATTTTTTGTTGTTGTTGCTATTAAAATAGAAAAACTGAAATGGTGCTGAAATAAAAGATGCAAGTTTAAAAAAAAAATCTACTACAGAAACTGAATCAAACGCAAAATAACATACCACACAGTCTTTTATGAATTAATATACAGATCTTAATTAAAGCTAATAAAGTTAGTCAGGAGCAAGGTTTATTATAATTTTTTTTTTTATATATAAAAATTTACAAGAAATGGTTATATTAGGCTGCTGTATGACCTGGTGCTTAGGATCAAATGCATGGATACACATTAAGATTAATGTTTTCTATGCGTGCTTCAGCCGTCTGTCAGTCGTGTTTGCACCGCATTGGGTTCTTGTGCATCAAGCATGTTTCTGCATTTTTGCTCATTCATGTTTCTTTTTCAGACTAATATGTCAGACTTTTCAAAGAGAAAGGAAAAATTTAAATCGCATCATATGACCCCTTTAATGCAGTGCCCAACAGAATTTCTATTTTTTTTTTAGAAATTAGATTAAGATTACTAGAAACTAGATTAAAATGGCTGATTTCGTAGCCGTGATGTCCAGAATTTTGTGGAGAGTTTGCAATATTGTTTTTATAATTAAGTGAGCACATTATGTATAACACACACACATTTTTGCGTTTGTCACAGAAAATGTTTCATCAAATTCTGAAACAACGTTTAAACAATTTTTTGTTGTTGTTTCTATTAAAATAGAAAAACTGAAATGGTGCTGAAATAAAAGATGCAAGTTTAAAAAAAAAAAAATCTACTACAGAAACTGAATCAAACGCAAAATAACATACCACACAGTCTTTTATGAATTAATATACAGATCTTAATTAAAGCTAATAAAGTTAGTCAGGAGCAAGGTTTATTATAAATTTTTTTTTTTTTTTATAAAAATTTACAAGAAATGGTTATATTAGGCTGCTGTATGACCTGGTGCTTAGGATCAAATGCATGGATACACATTAAGATTAATGTTTTCTATGCGTGCTTCAGCCGTCTGTCAGTCATGTTTGCACCGCATTGGGTTCTTGTGCATCAAGCATGTTTCTGCACTTTTGCTCATTCATGTTTCTTTTTCAGACTAATATGTCAGACTTTTAATTTTTTTTTTTTTTTTGCAATTTATTTTGTGGTTAAATGGTGAATTATGCAGGATCCAAATGATCCAAAAAATGTGACATTATGATCACTGAATTGTGAATAACTGGAGGGACTGTTAACGAGAGCTGAGTTTTGAACACATCATATCCTTTCCTGTCCAGTCCACAGAATCTGATCGCTCAGTCTCAGTCAGGCACGGGTAAAACAGCTGCCTTTGTGCTGGCCATGTTAAGTCACGTGGACCCTGAAAACAAATGGCCTCAGGTATGAAGTGCATCAGAAGCAGTGAATGTAATGCATGGAAATAATTCAGCTGTTTTAGTGTTAATGCCGCTCTGACTCTCTGTGTCCAGTGTATGTGTGTGTCCCCCACATACGAGCTCGCCCTACAGACGGGCAAGGTCATCGAACAGATGGGCAAATTTTACCCTGAAGTCCAACTGGTGTATGCCATCAGAGGAAACAAATGTAAGCTCTTATTTTAGAAGTTAAGATTTTCTGTACAATTCTCTAGTAACATGATATCTGGAATATGTATATTACGGCATGTTTGATTTTTAATTGTTGACTCCATGATGTCACTATCAAAGGCTAACTACGTATTTATTATGCAGGAGTAGCTTGTAATTGTGCGTGTTGTCGTGTGTTGTTTGGTCCAGTGGAGCGGGGAACAAAATTACAGGAACAGATCGTGATTGGCACTCCTGGCACTGTTTTGGATTGGTGCCAGAAGCTTAAATTCATCGACCCCAGGAAGATCAAGGTGTTCGTCCTGGATGAAGCTGATGTCATGATCGCCACACAGGGCCATCAAGACCAGAGCATTCGTATCCAGAGGTACAGGATTTCTCTCATAGTTTGCTAAATGTCTACAGTGGGCTCTAAAAGTCCATTATTATTCATTTTTGAATTGGTTATGACAATGCATAAAATATATAAATTTTCTGTATTGTTCTGGACATACGAGTAAGTCAAATATAGGGCCCTTTGAAATGTTTTATATTTGTGACCCTGGACCACAAAATCAATCATAAGGATAAATTTTTCGAAATTAAGATTTATACATCATATTTGGCAGAGATACAACTATTTGAAAATCTGGAATCTGAGGGTGCAAAAAAAAATTAAAAAATACTGAGATAATTGCCTTTAAAGGGGTCATATGGTGTTGCTAAGAAGAACATTATGTTGTGTATTTGGTGTAATGAAATGTTTATGCGGTTTAAGGTTCAAAAAAAGAAATTATTTTCCACATACTGTACATTATTGTTTCTCCTCCGCCTTTCCGAAACGTGTCAATTTTTACAAAGCTCATCAGTCTGAAAAGCGAGGTGTGCTGTGATTGGCCAGCTATCCAGTGCGTTGTGATTGGCCGAATACCTCAAGCGTGTGACGTAAATGTTACGCCCCTTACCATACTGTGATGCTCTGTCCGGCCGGAGCGATGAGAAAAAAACATGAAAACCCATTATAAACGAGGCATTTGTTGCATCCAGTGGGGACATAATTACTGATTATAATGACTTATACTGTCTTTTGTTGCGTTGCATCGCGCCGCGTAAACATAAAACCATGTCTGCATTTGTGATCGGAGAAATGACAAACAACAAGTGCTACTCTACACTGCTCAAAACTCGCGTTTGAATCATCAGTGGCAAATTCTTTATATATAAAAACCGTACTTGCAGTCTGAGAGTCAGAACAGCCGGCATTGTAGTCTACTCTTCCAGGATCAGGGAGATAAAATGCACTGCACACATCTGAATATTTGGGTTGAACTGTTCTGGAACAGGGTTGTAAATACAACTTAACCACTGATTTCTAGTCGTGTCCTCTTTTGGAAGACCAAACAAAGTAGTTTCGCTTTCACAACGAAATGCACAGAGCCTTCACGACATGGCGGCGGCAACAACAATACTACAGCGAGAATAAAAGTTACGCCGCCTTTCTTTGCGTGAACATTTGGGCGGCATTATGCAAATAGTGAGGTAGATATGTGGGGGCGTGTTAGAACGAGCCATTTTAGGTAGGTGTGGCTGACTCTTAACTTTTATAAAGAATATCTCTTTGGATTTGAGACTTTAGTCTTTGCAACTTTACAGATCTTCTTTATGCACCAAGAGCTTGTAACACTCCAAAGAGAAAGAAAAACTTGAAATCGCATCATATGACCCCTTTAAAGTTGTTCAAATGAAATTCTTAGCGTTGTATATTATTAATCAAAAATTGCGTTTTAATATTTATGGTAGGAAATTTACAAAATATCTTCATGGAACATGATCTTTACTTAATATGCTAATGATTTTTGCCATAAAATAAAAATCAATAATTTTGACCCATACAATGTATTTTGGGCTATTGCTACAAATATGCCCGTGCTACTTATGACTGGTTTTGTGGTCCAGGGTCACATTTAATAATTTAATACAAATATAATATAATACAAACTTAACAAAAATGGTGAAAGGCAAAAACATTAATTAGTCTTCTAAAAAAAAAAAAAATTTTTTTTTGTTCATTTAAAACATTCTGTCGGGGGAAAAAAGTGATTGAAAGTTTATTGGAGTAAATGAAGTCGAGGAGTCTATTCCATCAATTAGGGATGCTCCGATCCGCCTTTTTTTGCCTCCGATACCGATTCCGATACCTAGGGTTCAGTATTGGCCGATTCCGATCCGATACCAGTGAAGTCTTTTTTTTCCCCCTCATTTAAATAAATATAGAATTTATATATCTCTGTGTGTGGAACTGATAATCATTCTTTCACAATCTACTAGATACAGACTACTTCATTATAAATAAAATAAACAAATATGAAAAAATATAGGCCTATGTATATTTATAATCTGACAAAAATGTATCATAAACTAGGTTAGTGGATAATTCGGCAGCAAAAGTTATTCTAGAAAAATCAGTGCACAATCATTTTAGAAATCCAAACATTTAGTGAAAAACAATATTTTGTGGAGAACAAATAAGTGTTGCACTAAATATGGTAAAATGTTACACATTGCTATTTGTATTATAAAATCCATTCATTAAAACTTTCATGAATGTAAGTATATACTATAAAATTAAAATACATTTATTTTAAATGTATAGCATATTTTTTAATAAGGCAACAACATATGACAGATACGATAGGACAAAACAAATACAGTGCAGCATGAACTGTTTTTATACAGTCAACCCTCAACAGACACCGTGGCAATTGAATCGCCATTGGCTAGTATATTTTTTTGTTTACTCGCCAGACTGAAAAACTATACTATCTATCTATCTATCTATCTATATATATATATAGTGTTATGTGTTATGCCATTTATATAATATTTGTAAAATGGTACAGCTTTTTAAATATCTGAAAGTACACTCTTAATATCAGTCAGTCAAGCATTATAATAGAATAATTAAGTATTATTTAATAATAGAAGTTTAGTAATTAGAATTAAAACTTGGTAACCATAACTTAGGGCTGGTGCTTTTTTTTGTCATTCAGTGTTCCTGTAAAAACACGAACAATAATACTGATAAGATATTATTAGTATTATTATTATCATACGAATTCTACTAATAAGAACAATATAAAAACGCACTAAGGATTAATGAGCTACTGGATTCATGAATATTAATCAGATTGTGTGCGTTTGCTCGAACGGATTCGCTGAAATCAAAACACGGATGATAATAGGTGAGCACCAGCCAATGAGATTGTCGTTTGTGCATTAGTTCCGCCTACTACAGGAAAACCCGGCAGTTCTTAAAAGCTGAAGAATTCCAAAGGAACAGTTATTTTTACAGGAAAATACAACAAAGTATATCGTTTACATGTAGCGCATCAATTCAGCATGTTATGTAAGACTCTCGCTCGCTCTGTGTGTGTGAGAGAAAGTGACGGCGAGTCGTGCGCCTTCACACTAGAAACACATTACGCCAAATACACACACACAGGTGCGCTGCGCATCCATTCAGATGAACTGATAAATATCACGGATCGCTTGACGGAGAGTGAAACTCTGAAGTGCTCAGTCAGAGTGTTCTGTGAGTGAAAATATATCTGTGCTAATCATAATCAGCATCCAACTCACACACTGGCAAGTAAAATATGATAATTTATTAGCCATTGGCTAATATTAGACATCATTTAGTCGCCCAGAGTGAAGATTTAGTCGCATATGCGAGTGATTTACTTGCAATATAGAGGGTTGACCGTCTATGAGCATGAAGCACTTACAATGTGCACACATTAAGCGCTTCGTGTTAAAAACTGCAAAGCACAAAGGGAAGATAAATTGATGCGTAGTGTATTATATCTGTGCAACAGTTATTGAGCCTTTCTTTTAACAGTTTTAAATTTCAGTTACTGTGCACGTTAAAAACTATTTACAGTCTTTTCTACACCCGTGTTTTGTTCTCACAGACACCCGGTAGCAAGTAACAAAACATTAAACTCCGGCAAGAAGATAAAGTCCTTTTTGCAAAATCATAGACATGTATTTACAAATCAAGTATAATGGGAACACAGAATGATCTCGGAGCGAGCTTTACCGAGCTGACTGCTGTAACAGAACGCGAGCAGGGTTTAAAGGCTGAACGAATGACTGACAGCCACAGCGGAGAAAAGAGTTTGTGTGAACTTTAATATAAGGACTTAAATATTCATATGTTGCTCACATTTAGCTATAATATGGCTTCAGAAGTAGCAGAATAATTCACACAATCGGGAAAAAAAAAATCTCGGATTTGGATTGGCTCTCTGATCGATACCCGATCCGAGAAAAATGGCACTATCGGAGCCGATACCCGATATGAATATCGGATCGGCACATCCCTACCATCAACTCCTATCCAAAAAATCTAGAATTGAACACCCCTAATTAAGTGTACAGCCCTACTTTTTTTCATCCAAAATTTGCAGTTCATCCACAGTTTCTTTTTTTGTCTTTCCCACCACCCCCCATTTCAACTTTTGACTCATTGCTATATTTAAATTGGTGCTGTTTATAAATTTCTGTTTCACTAGTAATCTTTAACTTTTGGGACCCCAATGTAAATATTTCATAAATTGAGGGTTTTATCAGCCAAGGACATTGCTTTATATATTGTATATTATATATTGGTTTTGAATTTTAGAATGAAAGTATCACAACCTGTTGTTCTTGTTTTTACAGGATGCTTCCTAAAACTTGCCAGATGCTGCTGTTCTCTGCCACATTTGAAGACACCGTGTGGAACTTCGCAAAGAGGATTGTTCCCGACCCCAACATCATTAAACTGAAGCGCGAGGAGGAAACTCTAGACACCATCAAGCAGTACTACGTCATCTGCAACAGCAAGGAGGAGAAATTCCAGGCTTTGTGCAACATCTACGGAGCCATTACTATCGCACAGGCCATGATCTTCTGCCACGTAAGTGCAATATCATTTGTTGATATTGAGGTGTTATTTCAGAGTACAACCGAAAGAAGTAGTAATGCATGACCATGAAATTTGCCATCACAGACCAGGAAAACCGCCGGGTGGCTGGCAGGAGAGCTGTCCAGAGAAGGCCACCAGGTGGCGCTGCTCAGTGGCGAGATGCAGGTGGAACAGAGGGCAGCGGTCATCGAACGTTTTCGCGATGGCAAGGAGAAGGTTCTCGTTACCACTAATGTCTGTGCTAGAGGTATGACCGCTATACCTACAATCTCATCTTTAGTTCAGGCTAAGCAGATTTTGCCTGATGGCTTCGTTTCTTTTACCAGGTATTGATGTGGAGCAAGTTTCAGTCGTCATCAACTTTGATCTGCCAGTGGACAAGGATGGAAACCCTGACAATGAGACGTATTTGCACAGAATCGGGCGCACTGGGCGATTTGGCAAGAGGGGGTTGGCGATAAACATGGTGGACAGCAGATTTAGCATGAACATCCTCGACCGCATCCAGGAGCACTTCAGTAAGTTCATAAAAACCAAACAAATGAATGTCCTGGATTAAGCTCTATCAGCAGCAGAAGTTGCGTTAGACTTTAATATCGTCCGTCATTTTGATGGACAGGGTTGTAAAAATTCTGTCATAATTAGGGTTGGATATCGAAAACCGGTTTCAGACTTCCAAGAACCAGGTATTCGATAAGACGCATGCTTTTCGATTCTACTTAACGATTCCTGCGTTCGCATTTTAATTTGATTTAAAACGGTTAAGTGCAGGAACGGAAAGAACTTGCGCCTTGTTTGAGTGCAGCACGAGCACAGAGAACAGCGGTCTCCGTGTGAGTTCCCAGGTTCCCACTTGTGCGTGTTAGAGGCAATGGCAGCAGGCTTCATTGCACAGAATATGCGCTGTGAGACACGTGCGCATTTCTTTAGTGTGTGTTTCCACCCGCCGTCTTTTACCTAGTTATGCTTTTATTTATGCTGTTTGAAATGCAGTACGTATTAGATGCACAAAATCACATGCTGATACTGAAAGTAGTTTTTGTTTATCATTTGTGTTGTCTTTCCCCGTTTATTTATATTTGCTTGTATGTTTTGAAGCTATATATTTGGTTAAATTCTTAACAGTTGTTTTGATTTATTATTTATTTGTAATTATTTTTAAAAGTAGCCCGCTTATATAATTTATTACGAATGCACAAAATAAATTTGAGATCAAATTAATATAAAAATGTAGCCATGTGCCGTAATATTAAAAATTGAGGATGAGACGCACTGTGATATCGAATTGAAATCCAAATCGAATCATGAAACCAGCGACTATTCACACCCCAATGCACACATTACAAGATCTGAAAATCGCAGCACATCACACACCGCAAGGTTATTAAAGTTTATGAGCACCTCGCGTGATCTCGCTTCGTCTTGCATAGCAGATTGTTGTTTACATTTCCACAGCTAATGTTTACTAGCAGCTAATTTGTTAGCTAGTGCACTATTTTCACCTGGTAGGTTCAAAACTGAGGCGATTTCTTCTTAGCTCCTCTCTTTGTCCATATGGTTTTGGTAAGGCAGCTAGTTTAACGGTCAACATATTAGCTTTAGTTGAAAGTACTCAACGTAATTATAGTCGTAATCCTCCTGATTTTAAAATCCTAAATATTGGGGCACCCCTGATGCGTCACGGATCGGGATGTTTAAGATTTGGTCTGTAAATGCCTCATTGCCAGATAATCTGGGTTGAACATCAAAACTGACTGAGGTCGTTGACTATTATATTATTATTATTATTATTATTATTATTACATTATATCATTTTTTGACCATGTAGTAATTTTTATTTTTTTATATTTTTTTTTGAACAGTGTCTTAATGTTAGAATGTATAATGGTTTCAACTAACAAATATTTATTTTTATTTTCTTTCTCTCTCCGAGATCAACGTTTCACAGCTGCTGCTGAAAGAACTTAGCTTTTAAACCAGGAGGACCATTCCATAATTTAACTTGCATCCATGCCTCTATTTATTGCCATGTTTTCATGATTCAGAATGTGGGTTAATTCAATTATCTGTTTCCTATTGCAGATAAGAAAATCGAGAAGCTGGACACAGATGATTTGGATGAAATCGAGAAAATTGCCAACTGAGCGGCCGTCTTGGTTCTTCTAATAGGACTGTGCTCGCGCTACGTTTTAAATCAGAGGCTGGAAGCAGAGCTGTGCCAGAGAGGATGTTTACATGTGGAGCAGTTTTATCTCAGATGGGGTTTTTATAGGTTTTGTTTAAACAAATTTCACTCTTTGTACTTGTTAATACATTTTGAATGTCTAGTCTTAACGTCACGTGTACGGGAATGCTACAGCAGCGGTCTGGGATAGAGGCACGAGGAATATGCCTTTCAATATACACAATTTCATCATGAACCTTTTAAATTGACTTTGCCTTCACACAAAGCGTTATATTGAGTTCCAACATGGGACTCCAAACCAAGGACTCATATTGTCATAATTGCGGATGAGATTTTTGTGGAACGAGCTGAATTTTCTATCACAAGCGTGCTATATTGAGTTCCAACATGGGACTCCAAACCAAGGACTCATATTGTCGTAATTGCGGATGAGATTTTTGTGGAACGAGCTGAATTTTCTATCACAAGCGTGCTGCGCTTAATGAAAAACGAGCTTTTTCAGTCAAGTTTGTGTTGTGTGAACTCTGGGTGCAGCTACATGTGATTTGGTGACACTCCAAACTAGGAGTCAAAATGCAGGGTTTATTTAACATATTGAGAGATTGCTGTTATTGTGTTATACATTAATACTTGATACCTCATGACATTGCTACAGAAGGGATGCTGGCAGTTATTGGCTTCGAATTAAACCGAAACGGTTGCCAAAATCCTTTTATTGGTAGGAAATTATGCAAAAGCCAAAGATTCGTGCCTCCATTGGATTTGCCAGTATTTAACATGGAATGACACAAACAGATCTATTCATCGTGTACAAATAGTCATATTAAATAAGTACAAAGAGTGAAACCGTTGCTATATTTAACATATGCAGTGTAAAGAAAGCAGATGCGTTGCGGCATTCGTTGTAAGAGTGCTCCGGAGCCGAAGCATTATTTGTGTTCCCAGTCCCAGACTCCATTGAATTGGAAATCATCATGTTCTCGTACACAAATGCAACCGAAGGCTGTGCCACATTCCCATTTGCAGCCGCCTTAAAAATGTAAAAGGCAGATGTGAGCGCATCCTCTACAATCTCACTGTATTCTTCAGGGTAGCCGTAGCAAATGATTATTTTATATTATGGGACATTTTAATTTAACCACTCGAAACTCAACCGGCTCCATTATATATGCATTATGATAGACGTATATTTTATTAGTTGGTATGCGAGTAGTGAGGTTGGGGTAAAGTGTGTCAGTCGCATCTTTGAAGGGAAGACTTTTCTTAATTGATTAAATATATCTCCTGATGCCTTGTTAATTTTCTCAGTTTGGTTCAAGCTGTCAATCAAACCTGTTACAATGATATTAAATAGAGGGTTTTATTTTTTTGTTTGCAAACAAAATTTGAAATCTATGATTAAACTAAAGGACTGTCTAGGAACCAACACTTGATCTGGTGTCGCATCGAATAATAAATGGACTTGTCTCTGTTATCAGACATTCCTGCATAATCATTGCATTCTTTTATTAGTGTTTAACTGAAATGCCAACCGGATCTCATGAAAGCGCGTATAAATAGTAGCCAAATAAAAACGAAAACTTGTGGTATTGACACGCAAAAATGGACTTTGGCGTGTATATGCTACACGGTGGGTAGGTTTAGAGTTGGGTAGATGTCTATATTATCAATAGTACTTAAATATTTTTTATATATTTAAGGATACGTTTCATTGTGTATATATAGAGTGCTGAGAATTTTTTTTTGCCCCCTTCCTGTTTTTTTTTGCATATTTGTCACACAAAGATAACCAGAGTAAATACAAAATGCATTTTTGAAATAATGATTTCATTTACTAAAGGAAAAAGGCTGTCCAAACCTGCCTGGTACTACATGAAAAAGTAATTGCCCCCTAAATCTAATAACTGATTGTGCCACCCTTTGCAGCAACGACTGCAATCAAGTGTTTGCGATAACTGGCAATGAGTCTTTCACATCACTGTGGAGGAATTTTGGCCCGCTCTTCTTTGCAGAATTGTTTTAATTCAGCCGCATTGGAGGGTTTTCGGGCATGAATGGACTGTTTAAGGTCATGCCACAGCATCTCAATTGGATTTAAAGGGGTCATATGATGCGATTTCAATTTTTCCTTTCTCTTTGGAGTGTTACAAGCTCTTGGTGCATAAAGAAGATCTGTAAAGTTGCAAAGACTAAAGTCTCAAATCCAAAGAGATATTCTTTATAAAAGTTCGGAGTCAACCACGCCTACCTAAAACGGCTCGTTCTAACACGCCCCCACATGTCTACGTCGCTCTGTGGGAAGATTTGCATAACGCCGCCCAAATGTTCACGCAAAGAAAGAAGGCGTAACTTTTATTCTCGCTGTAGTTTTGTTGTTTCCGCCGCAATGTCGTAAAGACGCTGTGTGCATCGTTGTAAAAGCGAAACTACTTTGTTTGGTCTTCTAAAAGAGGATGATATCTGCTTCGTCATGCCTAGAGCTGATCCGTGCTGGTCGCTGAAGAAATACTACAACTTTGCGCTGTCGATCGCCGGATCGGCTTTCACCGTGGAAGAAGCGGAGTCCAGCCCGGAGTCGTCACATGTCCTTCCGGACGCTCCTTCTTCGAAATCGCCGGCCGCGCCATTTTCAAACCCGCCGGCTCAGCTCACTCTAGCCCGGCCTCAACTCCCTCTTTCCCGGCCACAGCTCACTCTAGCCCGGCCACAGCTCACTCTAGCCCGGCCACAGCTCACTCTAGCCTGGCCTCAGCTCCCTCTAGCCCGGCCACAGCTCACTCTAGCCCGGCCTCAGCTCACTCTAGCCCGGCCACAGCGCACGCTAAGCCGGGGGTTCCCCTCACGCTAGGCCGCTGTGTTTTTCGTTGTGAAAGCGAAACTACTTTGTTTGGTTTTCTAAAAGAGGACACAACTACAAATCAGTGGTTAAGTTGTATTTACAAAACTGTTCCAGAACACTTTAACCCAAGAGGAGAAACAATAATGCACAGTATGTGGAAAATAATGTGTTTTTTAACCTTAAACCGCATAAACACATTTCATTACACCAAATACACAAAATACTGTTCTTTTTAGCAGCATCATATGACCCCTTTAACTTTATCTTTGATAAAACTCTCCTATGGATGCCATTTTTTGCCCAGTCTCTTTCTTATTGTTGAATCATGAACACTGACCTTAATTGAGGCAAGTGAGGCCTGCAGTTCTTTGGATGTTGTTCTGGGTTCTTTTATGACCTCCTGGACGAGTTGTCGTTGTGCTCTTGGAGAATTTTGGTCTGCTGGCAACTCCTGGGAAGGCTCACCACTGTTCCAAGTTTTCTCCATTCGAGGATAATGGCTCTGACCATGGTTCACTGGAGTCCCAAAGCCTTAGAAATGGCTTTATAACCCTTTTCAGATACATGTCAACTGTTTTGATTCTCATCTGTTCTTGAATTTCTTTAGATCGTGGCATGATGTGTTGCTCTTTAAGCATGCTTCACTTTGTCAGACTGGTTCTATTTAAGTGATTTCTTGATTCAACAGGTCAGGCAGTATCAGGCCTCGGTGTGGCTAGTGAAATTTAACACAGCTTTCTAAAATAATGGGGTTAATCACTGTTCTTTCATGATTTAACAGGAGGGATCAAATAATTGTTCACGTAGGGCCAGGTCATCATTTAAAAACGGCATTTTGTATTTACTTGCATTATCTTTGTGTATTATTAAAATGTGTTTGATGATCTGAATCTTTTAAGTTAGACAAATATGCAAAAAATGTAAAAAACAGGAAGGGGGCAAAATCCTTTTCATGGCACTGACTATATATATATATATATAAACTATGTAAGTATGGTTTTGACAGGCAAGTGTTGGAGACAAGGGATACAAATAAGACTTTAATACATTTTTAAACATATTTACAATAGATATTGTTTCTTAATTGTCGATAATAATTTAAATAATTATATTACTTTTCAGCCAGCACGCAAGCCCCAAGATCTGTAAGGAACAAAAAAATATAAACCATATTTAATATTGATGTACTTTACGTAGTGACCTCTGTAAAATGCATGATCTTGTGGAGGAATGGATGGCTGAGAGAACATACTGTGTAGTGTGTACTGCAAACTGCACTGCATATTACTTGCTATTTAATCATGAAACAGCATGCATTATGTAACAAACAGCAGTAGAATTCTACACTCATCACACAAGCTTATTATTTTACATATTGAATTCAGCAAGTGCAGTCCAGTTTGCACTGTTTTGCGTTTTTAATCAAATTTTGTCAAAGAATGTGTTAAAATGGAGTGGAGGCTCAATTCAAGCACATTGCATTTTTGGCCAAATTGTTCTGTGCAGTGTTCTGTGATTGTACAGTTGACATGTACATTTACAATTTACATGTATAATGAGTAGAGCGATATTCTGAACATGACTTACCTGTATCGCTGTACTGTACATGGGTCAGAAACAGGCTGTGGGCTTGTGCCGTCAGGGTTTTGTGGGAAGGCCAGTGAATCTCGGGCTTCTAGCAGCTCTTGTATCTGACTAACAGACAATCTACCCTGACCGACGACAACCAGCACCCCCAGTCATCCTCCGCACCTGTGAGCGCTTTGATTACATGACTATTACTGTTACATAACATCAGCCATATTTCACCATCAAAGACTAATCGACTGAAATGAAATGAAACACTAGGAGGCAGACATCCTGTAAAGCAACATAAATATTATATTCATTAGGAAACAAAGCCAGTACTTACTTGTCTGTATTAAAAAGACCTACTTTTAAAAGTGAGCTGAATATCTCTGAAAGAAAATGAACAAAAATACAAATAGTAAGTCACCAAACGTGAACAAAACTCCACGTGTGCAGTGACTGAATGGGTGAAGAGTTAAGGCCTGACCTCTTTTGGGTTGTCTCCTTCACTCAGCATATTACTTCTGTCTAGCTGGTACAGTATTTCTTCCATTAAAACGAAATGTGCTATTCTGCCAAGTTGTCTGCATCAAATAAACAACTGTAGCTGCAGCAGGAGCACCGGATAACATCTCAAGCAGTGTTGGGGATAACGCAGGGGCGGCCTGGGACAAAAATTCAGCCCTAGCACTGTAGCCACACTGGCCCACATTACCACACAGACACACGCATTCACTACTTATATTTGTGTACAGATGGTGAAATAATATAAGCAGTACCATATATATAACAGATATTTAAACATGTAATGTATGTGTCTGGCAAACAATGCATGCTACTTTTTAAAGAGCACACGTTTATAACAAATTTACACATACAGTAAAAACAAAAGAAAAAGAATGTGAGGATGTTGTAGAGTCTGTGTGCTGTCTGTTTATGCCATTTGTCTGCTG